CGAAGAGTGAATTAGAATTTCGATCTATGCGATCGAGGTATGCCGACTAGACTGAAGGGTAAATTTTACCGAACAACAATTAGGCATGCATTAATGTATGACGTAGAGTGTTGGGCAGTGAAGCAATGCCACATTCAAAAGATGAGTGTGGTAGAGATTCGTATGTTGCGTTGGATGTGTCGACATACCAGAAAAGACCGTTTGAGGAATGAGATAATCAGACAAAAGGTGGGAGTAGCACCTATAGAAGATAAGATGCGGGAGTCTCGTTTCGGTGGTTTGGACATGTGTGTAGAAGACCGAGTGATGCACCTGTTAGACGACTTGAGCAGTGGGGAGAAGTGATGGAGAACAGAGGGAGCGGAAGACCCAAAAAAACTTGGATTAGAGGAATCAGAACTGATATGCGTCTTCTTGGTTGGATGAGAGTATGACTTTGGAGAGAGCAAAGTGGAGATGATATGCACACATCCGTGTGGACGTTTTATGTTTTTTCTACATTTACTCTCTCTTTTCTTTTATCGTTTATCTTTTTTATCTTTTTTTCGAATTAATGTTAATTAATTAATTAATTACGAAAATAATGCTGAAAAAAAAAGTATTTACCGATCTATTGCTGGGTTTAACCATGGTCAGGGAAAGTCGCCCAATGGTTGGGCGACTTATAAGTCGCCCAACCATTGGATGACTTTCCCTTCCATATGAACGCAGCCCAGCAGCTACTACCAGCCACGCACGATCGTGCCTGCAAGGGTAGGCACGATCGTGCCTAATTCCGAAAACATAATTTCAGCATTTTTTTGCCCCAGCTCAACCCAAATTCATATGTTTACTATAAATTAATAAGGTCACCCTTCTCCTGTTTAAGTGTTACGAGCCAGTTACAACACATTATAAAACATACAACACACATGTTCACAAACACATACATAACACCTACTCTCAACAACATACAAAACACCTTGTAAAGATCCTTTACAAATCGAATACAAAACCTTAGATTCATAACCCGGTAAAACACAGTACAATCATCCAATATTCATAACAAGTAATCATCTAATATTCATACTCGAACACATCAAGACAACATACAAGAGTTTAGAAGAGAAAATATGTAAAATGTTGTAAATTGTTCCTAAAACATCTACTGTACAAGAAAAACTGCAATACAAAAGGCAAACTACAAGTTCTCATGGTCATCTTGATCATCTTGGTCATGGAGATGTTGTTGTTGATGTCTACGCCTACGCCGGGGTCGTGGTTGAAGAACCACTCTCTCATGCTGCATCTAGGATGATGAAGCCGTTGCTGCACTAGACGTCGATGGCATCTCCTGAGATGGGGGCATGTGTATAAGATGGTCGTAGTCGACTCGCCCCAACACATCTGAACACAAGGAGGCAATGCCTGTCAGAGTCTGTCCATACATGTCCACATCATGAGTATCACTCACTGTGACAGTAGCCCGCTGATGTATACGCTGCAAAGCTCGTGTCTGAAATATGAAACACAATTACAATTACATTGAAATACATACAAGTATTAAATAAATAAAATGACTTACTTTACTAATTAGTAATATACTCACCGTAAGATGCAAAGCCAAGGAGCTAGGCTGATAATGATGAGTAGGGAGTCTGAACGAAGGAGACACAAACAAACGAGTGATGCTGTAATACCATCCCATGTAGTCTCCTGAAACAGATGGGATAAATGTCGGTGTCCCAGTCACAACTAGTACTCGTGGCCTTGTGTTACTCTCATTTTACTGGTTTCACACCTATTAACAAAATACGCATTAACCCGGTAAAAGGAAACCTGGACCAAAGCGGTGATGGGCAAATATCTAGCATTTTTCATCACGCTATTGAAAACCTCTGCCAGATTAGAATTGATGGTACCGTATATGTACCCGCCATCATGGTGCAATGACCTCATTTCCGGTGGAATGTTCCCTAGAAATTGTTGTGCCTCCAATCTCATTTCACCTATCTTCTTGAAGCCACCGTCAAACTTCTTTTTCTGATGTTGTCGTGCGGTCCAGACAAAAAGATTTTTTAGATGAATGTCTTTGAAATGAGTGTGCACATTCGATGCAAGATGGCGGATACATAGCCTATGATGCGCATAAGGCTCCTCCCAAGTACTGCCCACCTCATTCATTGCCCTGACAATACATCCATGCCCATCAACAATGACACACAACTCCCTATTAGTGACAACCTGCCTAATACATGCCATAAACCAGGCCAACTATCCCCATTCTCAGATTCAACAACTGCAAAGGCCAATGGAAATATTTGGTTGTTCGCATCACAACCCATGGCCACGAGCAATGTACCCTTATACTTTCCATACAAGTGTGTGCCATCAATAGTAAGTACGGGTCGACAATGCTTAAAATCATGTATTGATGCCTTGAATGCCCAAAAAACTCTTTGAAACTGCATATAAGATGTGGGAGTATTATGGGGTGGGTACCACTGCTCAATAGTTCCAGGATTTGAATGTTGGAGCGCTGTCATGAAACGGGGCAATTCAGAATATGACTTCTCCCAACCGCCAAATATTTCTGCTATGGCCTTTTGCTTCCCCATTCATGTTCTCCGGTATGATACCGTATACCCATACTTTTCCTTCAGCATTTCAATGATAGTATGCACTTTAAGGGAAGGATCAGTGCGAACAATGTCAATCACATCTTTAGAGATGAAATCTGAAGTCAAAGCCACGTGATCAGTAGTGTCGGTGTTCCCAACATACGTATCAAAATGAGGTCCAGGATAACGCACAATTGTGAATGTGTCAAGGTTGCCTTTGTTCTTTGTGGTGCGTATTCTCCAGGGGAAATTACATCCTTTCTTCCTTTTGCATTGTGCCACCCATTTGTGTTTATCGGACTCTATCACCCGATAAAGTTGGTTCCGTTTGATAGAATACAAGCTCACCATATTGATGACTTGTTCTTTGTTGTCAAAATGTTGACCGACCTCAAACTCACCTTAGGGGGTAAACCTTTTCTCACCGGATCCACTCATCCACGCATCAGTAAAGCCTTCAGGGAGATCATACATTCTAGTAAAGTGGCTAGACGGGACAATTGCCGTGACCGTATCACCACCATCTTCATCAGATTCTGTCATGTCATCACCATTGATGTTGTCGTGAACATCATCATCACTTCCCTGCCCATCCACAAATGATGCACCGTTGTGCAAATACCTACCATCTTCCTGTATAACCATGTCCAATACAGGAGCATTTGAGGAGTTCCCTACATTCACACCTGCATTGACATAATGCCTAGATACAACAGCATTTGATGTTGATGGAGTACCATAAGCGTCACATATGGATTCATCAATGTATATCTCCAGCGTCGACATGTCCTCCATCTGAACTATGCCCCACATATTTGTTATAGCTAGTCATCAATGAGGGGCATAAGCATGTACTTTCCTCCGTTCATGGGAAATTTCATTTTCAAATGCAAAGAACGACTAGGATGAATCATTGTGGCTGCATGTATTTTTTGAAGGATCTCGAGCATGCAAGCACCACGAGAAACCATGACAAATGTGGTTCTACAACCTTCATGGCATATTTGCCTAGCATCCTCATAATAGTTCCCTCCCCAATGACACCCGATTGGGAAGCTTGAGAAATCCATATTCTAATAACAATTCATTGTCCAACTATCATGAGTAGACATCAGTATACACAATTTATACACATTCAAATTTTCAATAGAAAAAACTACCAAAATTCTAATATATCCAAAAGTCATAATTCACAAACAACTCACATTTAAATATGAAAATACCCAAATTTTGATATCTACATTCAAGTCTACATTTCAATACCCAAATTTACAATCAATTTAAAATCAAATTTCAACATTTCATACATATCCACATTTCACAACAACTCAATTCACAATCAATTCATAATCTAAAAATTCGAAAAATTTAACATTCAAAACCCTAAGTTCAAAATGAGATGAAATGGAGTTTGATTTACCAACAAGAAAGAAGAAAGAGTGTTGAAGATGAAGATAGAGGTTTGCCGAAGTGGGGTCGCCGGAGATGGAGGTTCGCCGGAGTTGGAAATGGCTTGGTCATCCTTCGTCCTTCGTCGCTGCGGCTTGGGGGATTTGGGGCTTGGGTTTACGTCGTTCTGTTTTGTGGCTGACAAATATTTTTACTTAAGGGAAAGTCGCCCAATGGTTGGCCGACTTATAAGTCGCCAAACCGTTTGGCAACTTATAAGTCGCCCAACTGTTGGGCGACTTACCCCAACCATGGTTAACCCATCAGTATATTGGTAAATACTTTTAACCCAACCCTATTTTCGTAAATAATTAATTAATTAACATTAATACGGAAAAAACTCGTTATTTTTATCTTCTAGCTTTTTATGTTCTTTTATCTTTTATTATATTTTTATGTTATTGTTATCTCATATTTATTTATCTTTATTTTATCCGTTTATCTTATTTGTTTTCCCCCTCCTTGTCCGTCTCTCTGTTTGACAACAATATTATAGATCATTTCATGTTAGCCGACCTCAAATTATTTTGGGATTAAGACTTGAATGTTGTTGTATTTATTAATCATATTTTTATAGATAGTACTAATGTAAATAAGTTCTATTTTAAATTGGATTTTGCCAAAACAAGAAGTTTATTTGAAATTGGGTCTGTATGATACTAAATAAATACCCCGTAAGTTTTATGTAGAAAGGGTGTCTCAAACTAGGACTTGAATGAATTTTAAAAGAATAAATTTTGAAATCGAAGAGATTCCACCAGATTTGTGTTAGAATGTTTTTATATGTAGAAATCAATCAAAATTCTTTAAAATTCATCCAAATAAGTAAGAACAAAAATCTATGGAACGTTTGAAAACACCTTTATTTCCATTTATTTCGCATAAAGCTAAATTGGAGTTCTAAACTCCAATGAAATTTGGAGAATCTATTGGGCATCATAAGTCTATTTGACGGATTCCGTGACTGACGGTGCCATTCACAGCCAAAGCAATAGCATCACCAAAAATTTCTTTTCCCTTCTCCCAACTTTACACCAAAGTCGCAGTACACGAGATCACTACACACAAGAAGCATTGGTCAACAGACAATGCACCTAATAATTTGTTCTAACTTCTAAGGCAGTGGGAATCAAGAAACAGATGATGTGAGTGATTGCTGGCAATGGTAATGGAAGTTTCAAGTCCACTGAAGAAAACTAAATGGGTTTTTCCTCTAGTCTTAACCTCTTCGATCATCATATTCTTCTTGACACTCTTTTCTGCAAATCCATTTCAAAGGAACTTGGCAAAGACCCGTAAAGCTCCGGACTTTGTCGAATCCAAGCTGCGCCCATCCCACACCCAGCCCAGCTCGAGAATACCCAGACTGGCCTACTTGATCTCTGGATCAAATGGGGATGGGGAGAGGTTGAAGAGGACATTGAAGGCTCTTTATCACCCACTGAACCAGTATGTGCTTCACCTGGACTTGGAAGCACCTGCTGAGGAGAGGGTGGAGCTGGTGAGGTTTGTAAGGAGTGAGGCTTTGTTTATGGAGGTTGGGAATGTAAGGGTTGTTGAAAAGTCTAACTTAGTCACTTACAGAGGCCCTACTATGGTCACTAACACTCTTCATGCTGCTGCTATTTTGCTCAAACATGGAGGTGATTGGGATTGGTTTATCAATTTGAGTGCCTCTGATTACCCTTTGATCACTCAAGATGGTATGTACTGTTTTTTTGGCAACTCATTCTTTCTTTGATCCTGGGTACTTGTTTTATTATCAGTTACGGGGTATTATTCTGTTCTTAAGTTCTTTCTACTATTTTCTCTGTATTCTTGCAGGAGAAAATAAAGTTGGGATTTTTCTGCTATTTATTGATTTCAGTCCATTACCCCCAATTTTCTTTCATTTTGGGGATAAATGACCCTTACTTGCTATAATTAGTATTGGCATTGGCAGTGAACAAATAATGCTAGTTGTTGGGAAAAAATCTATGCTACTTAATAGTTACTATTTGCTGCGTTACTTTTTATATTTCAATCAGAATAAAGACATAAATAAGGGAAAAGTATAGCATTAATTAGTTTTTGAACCACAATGTTTGCTTGATCAGTTTATGTTACTGATTCTTGTAATTCTGGTACTTTGATTCATTATCTGAAAAATAAAATATTAATCATTGTGTTACCTTAATTTTATTCCCACATCGCTTACTTAGGGCGTGTTTGGAAAACGGAAAATGCTATAGAAAGAACATATTTGGAAGAACATGCAGGAGAAGTTCAGAAGGAAAGAAAATGCCGAGGAAAAGAAGACATTGTTTCAAACTCAGAGAATTCATTTTTAATATTTGTTTCTATTTATTTTTATTCAATCATTTCTATCTTATAAATGGTAGGCAATATAAAGTTATATTCACATGTAAATATTCCATATTAATCAGTCATATTTCTTTTTCCTTTGCATTTTTTAGGTAAATAAGAAAAACTTTCCTTAGAAGTTTCTTTCAAATGCCTAGCGTTTTCTGGGATCCAAACATACCCTAAATGTACCACATTGTCTGAAAGACGAGCAATGTTCTTACCCATTTCATTTGTCTTATGCAGATATGCTTCACACTCTTTCTACCATTCCAAGGCATCTTAATTTTATCGAGCATACCAGTGACATTGGATGGAAAGAGTACGTAGCTCAATTTTCCCTTAAATAAAAATGATGTAATTTTTCTTGCAAGTTTAAATTTGATTTGGTCCTGCATGGGGTGGTTCATTTATAGATTGCATTATGCATTTTATAGGGAACTAAGAGCCAAGCCTTTAGTAATTGATCCAGCTTTCTATAGCCAGAACAAATCAGATCTCCTCTCGCTCACAGTAAAAAGAAGTTTGCCTTCTGCCTATAAACTTTTCACAGGTGCATGTTTTATCTTTGTTTTCAATTGAATTACATTGAAGAGTTATCACAAACCAACTAAATATTAGATAACAAACTCATATAAAAATATTGGATTAATCTTCTCATGAGGTTGAGTTTTTTGGATCAAGCTCAAAGTCTTATAATTTTACAGTAACCGAATTAATTGCAATGATGTTGGGCCCTTCGAATAAAATACTGTCTATATGGGGTGTCGGGCCACAGGGGTATGCTTCTTTATGAAATATACTTCAATGGTCTGTACAAGGTGTTGGTCAATGAAGGTTGTGTGTCCAAATGAGATGAAAAAAACAATAAGGTATGTAGTCCAAAAGATTATAGTGAATTTGTATCTTTATATTTAGCCAGTGATTTAACATGCTCGCAAGATCGTGCCTCGTTGGTGTATATCTGCATACCTGTAATTTTACAGAAATGACACGTTGCTTAATAAGATTGACTCTGAATTTCTTGGTCGCAAACCTGGTGGTTATGTGCGTGGTAGTTGGTTTGATGGAGGAGACGCAAATACAAATGCCTCAGTTTACACTACTGTAAATATAATCTCAGTTGAATCCGTTGTGCATTTGAACTTAATGGGATCTGATATCTGTAAATCTTAAAAAGTTTTGGAGTTAAAAAGATAGTGGTGTGAAATATTATCAGTAAGTGCTTTTTATTTGGCTAGTCTAGTTGAACAAATATTTGCTACATTGTGATAATTGAACTATTCACACTTGTTTTCTATTTCCTCCCAGGCTCTGCTTGGATGATGCTATCTCGGCCCTTTGTGGAATACTGTATTTGGGGGTGGGACAACCTCCCAAGGATATTGTTGATGTATTACGCCAACTTTGTTTCGTCCCCTGAAGGGTATTTCCATACAGTGATATGCAATGCAGACAAATTCAAGAACACCACTGTGAACCATGACTTGCACTATATATCATGGGACAACCCCCCGAAACAACACCCGCGTTACATCACTCACGATGACTACCCAAAAATGGTGGAGAGCAATGCACCATTTGCCAGAAAATTTTACAGGAATGACACGTTGCTTGATAAGATTGACTCTGAATTTCTTGGTCGCAAACCTGGTGGTTATGTGCCTGGTAGTTGGTTTGATGGAGGGGACGCAAATACAAATGCCTCAGTTTACACTACTGTAAATATAACATTGTTGAGACCTGGGCCTGGTGCCAAGAGACTCAATAATCTCATATCTGCGCTGTTGACGGACAAGGATTTTGACAGTAAGCACTGTGTCTAGTGCCTGACAGAAGTAACTCAAGTAAGTTAATATAGCCTTACTCGTCATTGAGCAATGTATCACTTTGATCATTGATTTATGCCCGATAAAGGCACTTATGAAATAATCATGGCCTGGTTCATGATCACTCTGCTAGTTAGGATAAAGTAGGAACAAAAATTTGTATACGCTTTTTTTAAATATCTTTATACGATAGAGCTTTTTAAACGGGTTTTCCCGTTTAGCATTGCTGTTATATACTCCACATCTTACAGTACAGACTGTATCAGTAGAAAAATAGATGTGATGGTACTTTGTGTTGGGAATTAAAAGGTTAGATATTCAATTTTGTTTACTAATAAAATTGCCAAACAGGCCTTGAGAGGCAGCTATGATGGCATCTATTCTGTAAGAGGATGTCTTTGTGTTGGCTTCATTATGATGATAATTTGCATAAACACTGATGATTTACAGCATTGGGAATCCTTTTATTGCAATCTTCTACATGAAGTTCTCATACAAATGCTTCTGCTGTGCCTCAGAAATGAATCCACACTCTTCAATTCTAATAATGATAGATTAGATGGATTTAGACATTTAGTTGTGCATAATGGACTATTATTATTATATTATGGAGCCGAATTATGTTGTACTTAGGTTGCCCTCGATCCAGAGGGTGAAAAGCCAATTTTGTGGTTTTCACCACAAATATGTTGCAAACCGTGTATTTAAGGGTGTAAAAGTGGGTTGGGAATTAAGGGTGTAATGTGGTAAAGGGTCAAATGGGCCCTTGTACCCGTTCAGAATGCTCAATTCGCCCTCTAAACTGTAAAAAGCTCCAATTCACCCTCTAAACTCGATAAAAAAGTTCAAATCTCATTTTTTGCAGGTAAAGGTCTGGTCACCGCCACGTAACTTGGTCAGATGCCAACTGTGCATCCACGTGGCAATTTAAGGGGTCAAATAGGCCCCTGAACCTGACAGAGTTGTTCAATTCACCCCCTCAACCGCTAAAAAGTGTCAAAATTCCTATTAAAAAATTAAATATTAAAAAAATAAAAATAAAATAATATTCTAGTTCATAATATAAAATATAGATGTCTATTTATAATGTAATAAGAAAATATTTATATTTTTCGTCAAATTAAATATATAAAAAAATTTAATGAAATACATTATTTTTAAGTACATAGTATAAAAGTGTAATAACTATTTTCATATTTTACTTTTTTATGGTATAATTTTTTGTATTGCGTATATAATTAGTATGAAGTATAGTACTCTGCATATAATTCTAGAATAAAATAATACTTCTAGCATGTGTGTGTATAATTTTACATATAAATAGAAAACATATTAAAAATGGAGTTTTTTCCAAATTAATGTTGAATACAAAAATATTTACCAAATTGATGTTGAGTTAAAAGTTATTCCCAAAGTAATGCTAAGCCCAACTCAGGTTAACAAAATCGCACTTAGATGTACGAAGAAGAGGCTATGCACACCCGCACGGGTAGCTCAGTTGGTTCAGTGGTGGGAAATTTGGACCAAGTGACCAAGGTTCGAAACCCGCAGCGGCCGTGTGGAGGTCACAGAACCTGAAATAAGGCTGGGTCTCTGGTGCGCACGGGAAAAAGGCCTACCATCATTGGGCCGACTGAGTCACCGTGATTAACATCCTCCCAAAAATCCTGTCGAGTCGGGGTATGGGGGGCTCGTGGGGTGGGAGATTCCACCTTTTGGACCAAGAGGCTACTCACAAAATTGGAGAAGAATCCCTCGTGGGCCCCAACAAAATAGAAAATCCCATTTTTCTTAAAAATGTCGTTTCTTTTTTATTTTTACTCTATTTGTTATAAAAAAAATATATCAAAATAAATAATTTTTTATTAGCTTTCATATGACACCAGTATTGTATATATAAAAATTAAAAATAAAATTGAGATTTAAAAAAATTTATTTTTGAAAGTGTTATAATTTTTTTTATTTGTACTCCGATTATTTTAAAAAATTTATCAAAATTCGTAACATTTTATTATCTTTCATATGACAGTAATATTTCATATGCAAGGATAAAAAAATAGGTTAGCACTTTAAAAAATCTTTTTTTAGAGTGTTATACCTATTTTTTGTATTCTATGGTCTAAAAAAACATAACGAAATACATAAATTCTTATAACTACCTCCGTATCAGTTTCTTTTTTGATAAAAGAAACTCACACAAAAAGCAGCTAGAGTACAAGTATAGTACAACTATATTTCCGCTACAATTTTGTAAAGTGTTATTTTATTTGTACTCTAATTGTTACAAATAATATATAAGAATTGTGCCAGACTTAAATGAGACATAAAATGGAACGGAGGCAATAACATTTTATATGTACTCTAATTGTTACAAATAATATATAAAAATTCATAACTTTTTATTACGTTTCATATGAAATCAATATTGCATGATTAAAAATAAAACCTTTCTAATACATTGTACCTCATTTGATTAGAATTTAGAGTTTTTTAGTCTCATATGAAATCTCATTTGTTAGAAATAATTTTTTAACATAAAATATTTGTTTCATATGAAATCTAAAATAGTTATGAATTTTGATATATTATTTGTAACAATTAGGGTACAAATAAAAAAAAGTTATAAGATTTTAAAAAATTAAATTTTTTAAGTGCTAAATTATTTTTTTAATATGTAGGATAGTGGCACTGTGGCACATGAAAGATAATGGGTGCATTAGTTTTTCGGCGGCTAGGCTGAAACATCGTTTTTTTTTCAACATCAAAAGGCTGTAAAATGCAGCGTTTATGCTAAAAAACGGTGAAATATAAAAATAAGAAGTTATTTTTATATTTTTGATATATTGTTTTGGATTTTGATATATTGTTTTGGATCACCGGAGTACAAAAAAGTACTCCGTATAAGACTAAAAAAATTAGAGTGTTAATTTTTTTTTAAATTTTTTACCTATGAAATATTAGTTTCATATGAAAGATCATAAAAATATATGAATTTTGATATATTTTTTAAAATAATCACTATCCAAATAAAAATATTATAACGCTTTAAAAATGGAATTTTTCTAAATTGCTAATTTTTTTTATTTATTTTTATATATGCAATATTGGTGTCATTTGAAAGATATTAAAAGAATATGAATTTTGGTATATTTTTTATAATAATACGAGTACGAATAAAAAAGTTTGATCATTTTTTTAAAAAATGGGGTTTTTCATTTTGTTGGGTCCCATGATTGCCTCTTCTCCATTGTTGTCCTCCGCACCATGCTTTTCATTTTTTTTTTATAATTCAGTTATCGGGGCTTACGCTCTCATAATCCTGGAGTCTATGAACTACCCTCCAAAGCTCCTAGACAGTTAAATCCGGATCTGATCACAGTCAGTCTCGTCAGTACTGACTCCAAAGGACGAATCCAGGAGGGCTTGCATCACCTTTCAGACTGCTCCTCCCACCACACGAACTCGCTACCTTCATTACCATCGTCTCCCTTCTCAGCCGCTGAGCAACTCTGTGAAGGTAGGAAGAATCATTGGGAGCAAGACCTCCCTCATCTCCCCTTGGTGGGAATTGAACCCAAGACCTCCCACAAAGGATAGACTTGGGGGTGGATGATCATCCATTGGAGTATTGGACTACACTCATCTTCCCGCGAACCATGATTTTCATCACAAAGAGTGACGATTTTGTTAACTTGAGTTAACAAAACATTGTTTTGGGAAATACTTTTAACTCAATATCAATTTGGTAAATATTTTTCTTTTCAACATTAATCTGGGGAAGAACTCTTAAAAATGTTAAAAAATATCATATGAAAAATACAAATCTAAAATATAAACATAATATAAATTGTAAAATACAAAACCTAAAATATGTTTTATAATACCAGTTATTACATATAATACATAAAATACAAATTTAATATTAATTTGTAAAAACATGTACTACCTCCGTCCCGGAATTATCTCCTTATTTGACTAAGCACGAGTTTTAAGATAGTGGAAAATGTGTGATAGAGAGTTGTGCAGAGGAAAGAGAAATGTGTAAGAATGGTTGTGAACCACAAATTCTTTGCCAAAAAAGGAAAGAGAAAATAAATTTGGGACGGACCGAAAAGGAAACAATGAAGATAATTTCGGGACGGAGGGAGTAATGTTTATTTTTCTTAACAAAAATAGATTTAAAATACAGTATAAAATAGTTTTAATGAATTTATTTTAGTATATTTTTAATGAATTTACCGCAAGTATAAATATATCCCTATTATATATTTTAATATATGTTTATATTTTGTACTTTCGATTTGTATCTTATTTTATATTTTAATTTCCTATTTTTTAATTTCTTATTCTTTTTTTTGCAATTCTTACACTTTTTAACGGTTTAGAGGGAAAATTGAACAACTCTGTCAGGTCTAGGGGCCTATTTGACCCTTAAATTACCACGTGGGATGCATGGTTGGCAATCTGATCGGATGACGTGGCGATGACAGGACTTTCACCTGCAAAAAAATGAGATTTGAACTTTTTGTCAAGTTCAGGGGGTGAAATGGAGCTTTTTAGAGTTCAGGGGATGAATTGAGCATTCCGGACGGGTATAGGGGGCCTATTTGACCCTTTAGCCTAAATATTTTTCACTTCAATTTTCATGAAATTATTTTTGGTATCATGTATGTCCCAAGCTAGGATAAAAGAGGACGGTGTTGTGGTAGGCATGTGACGACCAACAATATAACTTAGTCACATAAATGACATGAAAAGAAATGTGAATATAACTACAACTAGGTCGTCGTCCGTAAGCGACAAACCATTCCTCCGTCTAGGGTGGTGTCAAATATGCAAGGTCATGATGGATGTTGATGTGGTGCATGTGAAGAAGAAAAGGCAAGGTGCTAGATTACGTTTTGTGGCATGGAATGTTGGCTCTCTTATGGGAAGATCATTTGAGGTAATCGAGGTTATGAGGAAGAGGAATATCAGCATTATGTGTGTGCAACAAACTAAGTGTGTTGAAGAAAAAGGTACATGAGATTTATCGCGGAGGGTTTAAAATTGTATTATTCGGGAGAGAGAAGATGATATATGGAGTGTGCATTATTGTGGCACGTGATTATGTTGAGGGTTTGATGAAAGTCGATCTTTAGGAAGAGCAACCACATCATGAGCATTAAATTTGTAATAAGAGATGAACTCATGTCTGTGGTAAATGCCTATACACCAAAAGTGAGGTTGAATGTCTCTATCACTCAACAATTTCGATAAGATCTTGAGAAAGTTGTGCGACGAGTGCCAAGGGAGAGAGAAGTTGGTCGTAGGAGGCGACCTCAATGGGCATGTGGGCCCAAACCGTGATGGTTTTGAGATCAAGAATATTCTAAAGTACTTGAGAAGAACTAAGGATGTATTTTTGGTCTATGGCGGTGAAGATCAACTCATTGTAAATGGTTACACAGATGTTGGGTTCCAATCCGATAAGGATGATTTCGAATTTCAGATCGCAGTCAGGATTTGTGTTTTGCCTCAATGGTGAAGCTGTGAGTTGGAAGAGTTCTAAAAAAGACACGGTGGCTAATTCTACGTACAATAGAAGCTGAGTACATTGCTGCTTTAGAAGCAACAAAAGAAGCGATATGGATAAGGAAATTCATCATTGAGCTCGGTGTCATTCCTTGTATTGTTGGACCAATGGACTTATATTGTGATAACAATGGAGCCATTGCACAAGCCAATGAACCTAGATCACACCAGAAATCAAAGCATGTACTCAGACGCTATCATCTCATTCGAGAGATAGTCAATAGAGGTGACGTCAAGATATGCAAAGTACCGACAGATGCAAATGTGGCTGACCCGCTCACCAAGCCACTACCACAAGCAAATCATGAACATCATACTAGTGCATTAGGCATTCGTTTTGTTCACGATTGGTCCTAGTGCAAGTGGGTGACTGTTGGAAGTACGCCCTAGGACAATCATAGATTATGATTTGTCAATGAATATTTAATGCTCATTAATTAATAAAGTCACAAACTCATTTTGTGTTAATTAGTATTGTGAGTTTTTCTTATTAATATTTAGTCCCTGAATATTATGTTTAGTAGCTAATTAAGTACGTTACTTAATTATGGAATGCTACACTTTAAAATAAGCATAATATTCTATGTGTCCCCGGTCTAATATTATTATTTGGGACATTAATAATTAATAGACCAGTATGCGGATTAACTGATGGCTATATTCCACTTGTCATGGGTATAGAGATATCAAGTTAATAACATAGATGTTTGTTACTGAACAAGTTCATTAGACAGACCCAACTCGAGGACACTGCTAGGTTATAAGTCATCCGTGTTGTCCTCAATAATGATGAGCTGTTATATTCTTATACTTGAGATAATCATGATTACTTACATGTGAATTAATATGTATAAACACCATTAAATGTTTATTATCTTTAAATGGGTAATTATAAGGGTGGTGATTGTACATATTATGAACCATGTAGTAGTATGTGAATTATCAAGATAGTTTTTGTCACTCTCGTATAGCGAGAGAAATATATCTATTGGGCTCCTTGACAAGTAAGATTAATTAGCATGGTCATGCTCAAATGAGGTGTCATTGTTCAAGATTAATCTTACTTGGTAATCAAGAAATATTCATTGAGAATAACAAAGATGACACGACCTAACCTTGTCTCAATTAAGATATCGTTTGACAAAAGAGAATTAACATTACAAATTAATCATTAAAAGGTTATGTCAGATTTAATTGACATTTATGTATTTTGGATAGTCATAATGCCTTATTAGAGTCCGCTTTATGATTTGTGAGGCTTGAATTAATTTTCTAGCTCACTGTCAACGATATATAAACCTACAGGGTCACACACCTATGTGATTTGGATCATTAATATTTGTTAATAACATTGAAATAGCCTGATTACCCAATTTGAAATAGGTTTTCGAATGGTATTGGGCTAGGTTCACCGCGTTCTACAATAAACTTTTACTTTCCTTTTTGGCATAAAATTTGTAATTCACAACAATTCTCGCACATTTTTTTCTCTTTTGCACAACTTTCCACTACACAATACTCACTATCTTAATCACCGTGTCATTTGTACTATGGAATGAAGTAAATTTAGGGACAGAGGGAATATGATCTTAATGCAATATTCATGTATCCTAACGTGCTCCGTCGTAGGCGACTCTATTCAATATTTTGAAAAATATTAACAATATAAATAACTATATGCTATTGTTGATTGTTGGTGAATAAGTTGCAAATGATAGTTGAAATGGCATTGCCATCAACCAGATGCGTGTACAACCTTCTCTGGTGATATGTAAATTAAACTATTAATCGTGAACTCCATTTGAATGGGCGTCCAATAACATTATTGAGAAATATTGATCAAGTTGTCAGGTCCGTCTCTAAGACTTTTAATGCCCCAGATAAAGAATGAGTAATGAGATGAAATATATTTTATATATATGTATATTTATGTATATAACAAACTTTCATGTATAATACAATTATTAAACAATAATTAATAAATTTAAAGAATTAAATATCACAACTATTTGAAACAGGACCCCGTATAATACAGTTATAAAATATAATTATCTAAGTAACTCATGAGGAAGAAATCAAAGATTCAGATTTCAGTATGTAAGTTTTATTTAGCCATTCGCTTATAAAATCTGAACGGAATTACAGTCTGACCGACTCCATTTGAGGTGATTTTGGTTAGAATGTTTTGATGTAATTTTGTGAATATGTTCTATATCAAGTATAGATTATGTCCACCAAATTTCACATTAAAATTCAATCGGAAAGTCACTTAAATAAATTATTGAAAAATACTGCGCCAAAATATATATAAAAAACGAATTGAAACAAATCAAACCAATTAAATCATGATTGAAAACCAAAGTGAATTTAATGGAACTTTTAAATTTAGTTTTGTACTCCCTCCGTCCGAAGAAAATCCACTTTTGGTCCCATGACTATTATGTCACTTCCACATTACTCCCTTGACTTTCAATTTAACCAAATCTAGTATGTGACCTTTTCCCCTTCACCACTCGTCGTCCTTCCGACCACAACTCCGGCAAATTTTAACCGGAAACTCATTTATGTAGAAATATTGGGGTCATTTTAGTAATTGTATGTTGCTAAAACGGATACCTACAAAATTAACTTCAATTAATGTTGTGTTAATACGCCAGCTTCCTTCATTCTCAAAATCGAAGTCTTCTCCGATTTTCCAAACTTCCGTCAACCTGGAAAATCCCCAACCATCGTTCGAACAATGAGGGCCCGTCCGGACCGTCGGAGTGAAGGAGAAGGAACAAGTGCGACGTTTGCCAACAAATGTTGGTGATAAAGGTAAGAGGCTGAACTTTTTTTAAAAAAAAAGTGGAAGAAAGTAATGAATTCAAGGCTGAAATGAGGTGTATATAATTGGTGTTTGCACATGTTACGTTCTTCCACTCTTTAAAAAAACCCTCTTTTTTAGCCTCAACATAAAACCCCTAACATGTGCAAACACCAATTATATACACCTAATTTCAGCCTTGTATTCATTACTTTCTTCCACTCTTTTTAAAAAAATTTAGCCTCTTACCTTTATCACAAGCATTTGTTGGCGAACGTTTTTCAGCACTTGTTCCTTCTCTTTCACTCCGACGGTCCGGATGGGTCCTCATTGTCCGAACGATGGTTGGTGAATTTTCAGGCTTACGGAAGTTTGTGAAATTGGAGAAGACTTCACTTTTGAGAATGAAGGAAGCCGACGTATTAACTCAGCATTAATTGAAGTTAATTTTGTAGGTAGCCGTTTTAACAACATACAATTACTAAAATGCCCCAAATATTTCTACATAATTAAATGAGTTTCTGGTTAAAATTTGCCGGAGTTGTGCTCGGAAGGACGACGGGTGGTGAAGGGGAAAAAGTCACGGACTAGATTTGGTTAAATTGAAAGTCAAGAAAGTAATGTGGAAGTGGCATAATAGTCATGGGACCAAATTAAAAGTGGAATTTTTCCCCTCCGTCCCCTATCATTGTTCATTTTTTCATTTTTGAATGTTCTCCTATTATTGTCTCCAGGGCCGGTCCTGAGGAAATGAAGGCCCTGTGCAAAAATAATAATTGGGCCTTGTTTTCAAAGTTTCAACACAAGTTAAAAAAACTTAACCGAAACCGCACCGACTCAAACGAGACCCGAAAGTCGGGACTCGAACATAAATCAGTTTAATGAAGGTTTTTTTAGTTATAAAATCGGTTCAAACCGAACCGAACCGATTTTTATTAAGAGGTATTTTAATTATTTATTTTGTAGAACAAATAGGTAATATAAAACTTGTACGTCCGTATTTCAACAATTAGTTGATTTGGTCCGGTGGTTGATGTTTAGAAATCAGCGTACATGCTTTTATTTTCACCTGGGTTCAAATCCCGCGTGTCTCGCTTCTTTTCTTTTTTGTTTCTAAAGCTTAAGATTCTCACACCGGTGGAAACGAGGAATTTACTACTCCTTCGTTCCTATATACACGCTCCTCCTTTGCAGATGAGGAATACACGAAGTGACGAACCATGCTTGCTTCAAAGCCTTGCCCTAGTCCACCTAAGTAATATTGGGACAAGAGGGAGTGACACGCAAATTAATAAAAAGTGATTTATGTGGTTGATATTGAGTTGATAAAGTAAGAATGATTTAGAGCCACACAAACTTTACCAAATTTGGTATGAGACAATCTTAATGGGACGAACCGATAAGGTAAAATGGGACAATCATAGCGGGGCGGAAGTAGTAGTATACTGCTACAAAAAAAAATTGGGCCCTACCAATTTTTTGGGCCCTGTGCGGTTGGACACCCTGCACACCATCTCATGTCATATTTGGCAACGTTTGTGTGACTATAATTCTTTCTTACTTTATTTTCACTTTATTATCAACCACACAGTTTCACTTTTTTTAAAAATCACGTCACTCTCTTCCGCCTCAATATTAGGGGATGAAGGTAGTATTGTTTTTGGGTCAAATTGTCGAGTGCAATTTTGTTCACCCCTCTAAGGAGGGTGAATATCATCCTCTTCTCTTATTTGTTGCCATGTGACTTTCCATCCTTTTTTACTCTAAATTAATTTAATTTTTTATTTATTATTCAAGTTTTATAAAAAAATAAAATCAGATTTAATAACTTTTCAAGATTTTTCCAATGATATCAATATTGTATATAAAAAAATTGGATAAAAAATCATTTTTTATAAATATTCATTTTTAGCTTGGATTTTTTTAAAAAAATTATATGCAATATTGGTACCATACGAAAGATCTTTAAAAAATAAAATTTCAAATATATTTTTTAAAAGAATTAGATTAAAAGTGAAAAAGTTAAAACAATTACTTAGTTAAGAATTACATTTGAGAGGGTGAGCACATTTGAACTCCAAATTATCCATGAGATCAAGACTTCAAAAGAAAACCCAAAAGGTTGGAACTGTCCATTCCATTTCAGATAGACCATCCGGGGAGTTGAGTATTCATCCTCTCAATCTGCTGCAAAATGGAATGTGCTCTCGTTTCAGCCTCAGCAATTCTCCCTCTAAGTAAGCATTTCTATTTCACCGCTTTCTCTTTTTTCATTTCCGACATTTATCAAGACTGTATAATTTATGGGTTTCTTCTGATTCTCTTAGTTTCGGTTCTTGAAAATATGTCTCAGTTCTGGAGTTCAGACTCGAGATATAGACCTTAAAGAACACCAATGATTGCAACTTTATTATACTCCGTCTGTTCTTATTCTTTTGTTGTCAAGAGTTCATCTTTGTACCTCGCTTGAGCAGCTAAAGATGTTGGTGTAGTCTCAATGACATGTCAGAGCTCATTATTTGGTAATTCATATAATGGTTTTATTGTGAGAAGAAATTTAAGTTCAGCTGGCATAAGAAGCCCTCTCACTGTCACCTCAGTGGTAAGTGTTTTCTTCTTTTATTATCACTCGAAATATATAATCCTTATTTTTTTATTTTTTTTATCTATTCTTACTTGTATTGTTTTCATTTTTTGCTCTCCCTTTTCAATTTTCATTATACCCATTGAGGCTCTTTTTTGGCAGTTCAGGAGGAAAACCAAGAAGCAGACCATTGTGCCTGACCCAGATTATCGTATCCCGGTTGTGCTTCTAGGTTTGAATTGAATACAGTCTGGTGTTCATTTGTATAACATCCAAGTCTTAGTCTCAAAAGAGTTCCGTTGGCCATTGTTCATTTGTCTGTAGGGCTAAAATTCCAAACGATTGACACTATTGATTTTTTTGTCTTATAATATTGTATTGCTATTCTGATATACAAATGACCATGAACATGAGTAAAACTTCATTCATGTGCACACATATGAATAAGGGTGTAGCCATGAGTAAAATTGGGGTGGTCGGTACAAAGAATTTTTTCATAGAAAGACTTACACTAAAAATACAAGCAATTTTCAAATTTGGAGTGGGCCGGGACCCCATCTGGATCCTACCTCCTCCCCAGCATATGAATGTTCTAGTGCTTTACAGAGTACTAAATATAGGACTCATTAGTCCTAAAAAGGATTGGAAGTAGTTAATTCTTCTTCATTATGAGTGAAAGATTCTTATTTTTCAAGAAAAATAGGTATTTCAAGAAATGTGATACTTACTTCGTTCTTTTTTAGTTGCAGCGTTCCCATTTCCACGCTTGCCAATGCACGATTTTGACCATCATTATATTTAATTCTGTATTAGTAAAAAATAACAATAAAAATCGCATTATGAAAATTTGTAATGAGACAAATTCAACAATATTTTTCAAAAAAATAATTCTCATACATTGATAAACAAAATTTAGTCAAAGTAGAGCAGTTGAATAGTGTAAACATATCCATGTTGCAATTAAAAAGAAATGGAGGATAGTATGTTCTAGTCATATATACGGAATTTGCATCTTTTTTATATGCATGTTTGTGTGAAATCCCATATTTGTTCTTGTTCCTACAAGGCAGGTTTTGTATCTTATTTCGAATTATTATATGAGCAGGTACAGCTGGCTGTTTGATATATACAAATAATTTACTAGCAGCTGCTCCTGCAGGTCTTCTTGGATTACTCTTGTTATTCCAGGTAACCTAGGTCTTTTCTGATGTTATATATGAAATGTCTAGAGATTGGCCATAGACTTGTTCACATTATACTTCCTTTTCATTTGGTCCATGCTACACTAATACAAAAAAGATGGAAATGGTTTTTCCATATGCAGACAACAAGAGTTAGATTCGTCTTTGATGATGAGGCTCTGGTATGTCCTCCTTCATCATGCTTTTACTTTTAAGGGGGAATCAGGGGGTTCACCCCAGATTTTCAAATAAAATTGAGTTTGCACCCCCTTTTTAATTTCTAACATTTGCGCCCCATTTATTCTTCCCAATTGGAGCGTGCGCTCCATGATTAACAAAATTTCTTTGGGCTGCAAATATTAATGATTTCAAAAATGGGGTGCAATGTCCAGTTTGGATGAAAAAGTGAGGTGCGAACTCCACTTTTCACTTAAGTCAAATAAACTAATAAGCCTGTTGTTTACTGGTAACTGAAAGTTACTCTATCTCAACAAAAAGTTTCATCAACGAGATCTTGGATGCTATATTTTTCACCAATGTGCCACAAAATATGGTCACAGGAGGTTAAAGTGGGGAGGCAGCTAGAGGAGTCTGGCGAAAATGTTTTTGTAGGTGGAAAGAACCGCTGGAAGTAAGCAGTAGTGTAGAGTCTTGTGATCTTTCTAATAAATTCTAATCGCATCAATTTACAACCTTACAATCCTACATTCCTACTTTTTTATTATCAGATACTCGTCGTTTGTGAATTGGGAGCTTTGGTGGCCAAACTTCCCCGTTTTAGTTTATTTCAAAGAGAGACAGACTAAGCCTGAAGGCCAAGTGCACTTTTTCCCTGTAATCTTTGTAAGTATCTTAACTTCGTTCCTTAGAATAAGAAGAATTCACTGAAAATAAGAGTAGAACATTGGCCATGTGCACAAATAGTAATATCCTAGTTTTTGCTAAAAACAGGACCTTTTATTTAGTCTCGAAGAAACAATTGTAGTCCTATTTGAAAAAAATGTTTTATGTTAAAAAAACAAACGGAAGGCCATCTTATTATGCGGGATGAAGCGGACTTCACTGGTTAACCACTTTGTTTATCGACAGTAGAACGGAAAGCAGCTCTACAATGTAATGGTCGAAAGATGTGGCATTTCTAAGACTAGCGGCCCCAAATAGGCAGTACGAGTTCTAAGAACACTTGGGACAAGGAAGGGGAGGACACGTGCTTGGAGAAATCGTTGATCCATATAATTCTGTGCCAACGAACTATGATGGTTCATGCATTCCACCATAAACAAAACTGTTCAGCCAAATGTGTATGTGTGTTACAATATGGTGTAAATTTTATTTTGCTGGATGTTATCAATTTAATTGGCATATTGTCAGGACATGAGAAATGTTGTTGTTATTGTTAGTCAGGACATGAGAAATGTTGTTATTGTTATATTGTCAGGACTTGAGAAAATGGTTTCATTACATAATATGCAACTAATGGCCATTCTGTTTCTCCATGGAATACTCCATTTGTTCACTTTTAATTGATCCACTTCATCGGTTTGCGGAGCGGGAGATTTTTCGGGAGGGGGCAGTATGAAGGCTAAGAATTATTGTGTAATTGCTCAAAATATAATAAAAAACAATAAAAGGGTAATACGTTAGCACAAATTAGTTTATTACATATTGCTTGACTCGTATCTATAATCTAGGTAGATCAATCATACGAGTTTTAATTTATTCAAAATGTTGTACAATAACTTCATGTTGGAAAAACATGATTCCCGGTCTTTTCCAGGATCATGAGCTCATAGACTCTTGCACACAACACACTTATCCACATACTCATATTACAAAGACCCAATCTCACAATATCATTTTCTATTACCCGCACTCACTCTTTGTATCTGGGAATATTTGACTCTACCTAACTTGATCACATACACTTCATCAAGTGATATCTTTGAGTCTTCTTCTTTCGCAAGAAGGCTCTCACTTTCCTCTCTCAAGGAGACTCTCACTCTCAATCACTCAAGAGCTCTCCTTAAGGTTCTCATAGAAATAGGAAACTTCTCTATACTGATCTCATCAAAGTTTCTCTAGAACTTTTTTAATACACCACTACACATATAGATTAAAAGTATTCACAAGCTTTCTTTAATCTTGTTAAAGGATTTAGAGAACTTCACAATTCTTTAAAAAATGTTCTAAAGGCTTTCAGTCTTTCACACACTTCCACACGATTTTAGTGAGTTCCACAATTCTCTAGAAAACTCCACATTATTATTCTAGAACATTCAATACTTCTCTACACACATATATAGAAGCTTAGACGTCTATGTAAATTATAAATTTCTCATAAATTTCTCCACTAAGGAGGGAATCCAACACAGTCTCAAGAATGTTTTGATCTTTTCGTTGTAAGAAATGTGACAACATATCCATCAAACTCATTACTTTCTTTCTCAATATAACCACGGAAAGTCAACTCGTGTGTCATTAAAGGTCTAAAACAATGCACACTGCAATCAAATGAGTGTAGTATGCTGCAGTCAATACTTGTATCCCTAGAGACACATACGTTTCCTGAAAGACTTTGCCTTTTATTTTAACACTTCATCTAAAATTAATCTTAATTGGTATTGATTTTTTAAAAGAAGAAGAGATGCATTAAATATATTTTAAGTAGTAGTACTAATTTTTTTGCCCGAAGCGGGTGCGCTTGCCCCCTCATGCCCCTCCCAAGCTCCTCCACTACACTTCATTATTGAAGTTTATTACTCACTTAGTTTCTTACCATGTGATTCTTATATCCTTTTGGGTTTTTTCGTTCCCTAGTTTGGAAAATATTTTCATATCAAAATAAATAAAATACTCTAATCTTTCATCTTCTTTTTCATACTTTTTTATGATTTCATTTTCTTTCCTTATCTTTTTTCTGATTTCATTTTCTTTAGGGGAAGATGGTCAAATAAACCCTTCTATTATTTTCAATTCATCACTTAAGCCCCTGTATTAAAAAGTATTAAATAAGTACGCTTACTATAAAAAATTGATCAATTTGGCCAATTATTTAGTTTTTGACCTGTAATAGTAGGTTTTTTATATTAAAAGTCTAAAAAATTATTAAAAATTGAAAAAATATAGATAAGAAATGTGAAAAATTTTCAGAATGTCAAAGTCAATATTTTTTAAATTATTTTTATATTCTACACCTATTTAAAAGGTTTTTACAATTTATATTTTATATAATTTACATTTTCACTTTATTTTTTTAGTTTAGTTATTTTATACTTTTTTAACGTTTTTGAAATATTTATCTATTTTTCAATTTATGCTATTGTTTATATTATTATTACATTATTTTTCAAATTTATATGGATTTTTATAAGATTTATCAATAGCCCTAATTTTTTCTTTTTTGAAAATAACCGCTATAGCACGTCAAAATGGTGTGATTGTATTTAAAAAGTAAGTGTAATTATATAATGGTTTTTTTAGTAAAAGGGCTTAAATGATGGGTTGAGAATAGTAGAATTAAAGTGTATAATTCACTATAATTCACTTTTTCCTTTTCTTTACTGTAATTCACTACACGTATAATTATTGACAAATATGCCTGCCTAACTATTGTCAAACCATCACTTAAATCTAACTACTAATTAAAGTGTCACATTAGGGCGTTTAGTAATTTTTTAGGACGTTTAGTATTTTATAACAATCAGATGTGTCTTGATCGAAACAGAACTTGTGACTACTTAGCGACTCTCGGTTTACGTTTACGTGGACTGGGTTATTTACCAAATGTGAAAGTTTTCCATGTTATTTCCATATCTTAAGACAGGTCTTCATTTATTCCGGTTGTGTATTGCAAATGTGGTCAAAATTTCCTTTGAGCATGACACAATTAAGAAAGTAGTTGTGAGTACTTCGGTTGTCACTAATGGAAGGTACCAGTGAACCGTAACCTTCTTGCAGCTATAATATGTTGAATTATCTTTTCCATGGATACTAGCTATATAGTGAATATAAATGGACGTGGGAAAGAGGATGTCAATTCTTTGCTTGAAAGATGACATTGTATTTAAAGAAGGCCAAAATCCAAGATTATATAGGAAGAGTTGAAACAATTCATTCGAGACTTAAGATATGAAACAATTGATTTGAGATTTATAGAGCAGTACAATCTTGAATTGAGGAAAAGAAGAAGCTTAAATCCATAAGTGTAATGTTAATAGTTGTTGTAGTAGCAATGACTATGTTAATATGTGTACCTCAGGAGAAGTAATAATGTAGTTTGTGCAATTGCAATGTAATTTGTACCTCGAGTAATGATGCAAATGTATGCAATTGTAATGTGTTCTACAAGAAGTGATGTAGTTTTAAGGGATATCTTAATTTGTGAGTTTATTGGAATGAAATGATATGTATGAAGTTTGGTAATTACATTTTGTGTGAAATGACCTTTGTGTATTGCAATGAAGTAATATGATAGTTTGATACTGTTTGAAAACATTCTTGTAAAGGAATGATATGAATATATGATCAATGTTCACGTAAGGGAAGAGTACTTTCCAAACAAAGTGATTGATTAACCTAATTATGTGAAAGGATCATGTGATCAAGCCAAATGCCATAAGTTTTTTTTTACTTGTTGTTGTTCCAAAAAGGTGGAATCTCCCACCCCAGAAGCCCCCATACCCCGACCCGTCAGAATGGTGGAGGAGTAAGTCACAGTGGCTCAGTCGGCCCAATGGTGGTAGACCTTAAACCCGTGTGCACCAGAGATCCAGCCCAGCACGCATGAGTTGTAACCTCCACACGGCCGCTGCGGGTTTCGATCAACTGGTTATTTTCCACCACCGGACCAACTGAGCTACCCGTGCAGGTATAAGTTTTTTTACTTATGTGTGTGTGTGTCAATGTGTGTATGGTTCACTTGTTTCTAGGTCATAAGATTAGGCTTACTACTTTGTACAGTGATTGTGTATAAGTGCAGATACTGTGGCATGTATGAACTCCAGATAGCATGATAGGGGTGACACCAACTTGTGAAGTGATCACTTTCATGAAGATATCAATTAACCCAAAAACTTTACTCCTAAATTGCATAATAGCCCTACTCAACAAGTACAAATGAACATAAAAATTGCGTTCATCATGAACAAGGATGCAGCTACACATTTCATTTTTCTTTTTTGTGGGGGAAGAAATACATAACCCAGCTTCATATTGTGTTCTAGACTGCTGAAACAAACAATCAAGCTGCATTATCATCCTTTCCACAGTTGATATGATAGCTGATTTCGATGGTGATTTGCATTGAAACTGATGAATGATATCTACACAAGAAATTCAAGACTTCGTGGAAGCTCACAATTTAACAAAAGAACCAATGAAGCTTAACTTTTTAATGGAAAAAAAGAAGACAGTACATATGCTCTCATTCCAAGAGTCAAAGATGATCAACCTGCAAAGCAATTCTAAAACACCAATCCTTATATCCTCCCACTTTGATCAATGTCGGCTATTCTCTAAGCTATGTCATCAAGCAGTCAGGAAACCCCCACTCTCCCATAAAGCAATTGTTTAGCATCAAAGTGAGTTTCATAAACCACCAGTAGCTTTTGAATAATTGCCTCACCAAGAAACTGTTGCATGGCTACATCCAATTAACCAAAAAGAAAAAGTCGAATGAAACTGCATCAGTCTGTCTTTGTACAGTGAGCATCAGTTCCAACCTTTGTGCAATGGTTGTACCCAATGGTATGTAAAAAGTCTCTAATCTCCGTTGCACTGCTATTGCTTGCTTGTAATAAACGTTCATCTTCCTCGTAGATCAGGTATGGGGCCTCACCTGCCTTTCTTGACAGTAATTTTGAGGCACCCTTGAGAACATGATACTCCCATCCCTGGACGTCTATTTTGACCAGCACAACAGACTCTGACTCCATAACCATGGCATCTAGAGGAACTGTCTTTACTTCAACTGCAATCTCTTCATTTGACTTGAATGCTAACTTTGCGCCACTAGCTGACACCGCACTATTATCAAGCCGGCCAACCAGCTATAAAAATCATTCGTAATGTAATGAATGACACATCGGCATTATAAATAAATCATAAAAAAAGCTAAAAGGACCATAAAAGTGACAAACAAGTACAGTTCCAAATCAAGGAACATGTTTGTGACACAAACTTCTCTGAAATAATGGACAAATATATGACTTTTACACGCAGTGACCATTTCACAGTAACTGTAATAAGTTAATAACAATGGTGATGTTTAATTTTATACTACAGTGGCTTTAATGGCCATGTAGTCATATTTAGGTCCATGGTTCTATTTTAGTTATATATTCAGAATAACGCCAATTTGTGTTCAATTTTCCTGAAAAGATGTGTTGCAAGACAATTTAGAGGCTTCAAATACAGACCTTCAAGCTACAAGTACTACTTAACTAGTTAATTATAACTGATCCCGCACAGCAATACAGCATCATGCAATAGGTAACTAGG